TTGCAATCCCACGATTACTTCCTTGGAATTCATCTGTTGATGAAACAAATTGAAATTCTTTAAAATTTTACACTTTGAACATGGTGGATTTTTGTATAATATTTGATGAAACTTGTCTGTTTTAATCACAATGCAGTATAAAATTTGGACGTTTTTCGTTGATTTACATTTATATCCTTGATATTGTGTCACGATTTTTATTAAATAAAACATAGAAAAAACACTGAACAATGAACTTGAAAAAAAAACATTCAAGTATCGCGTATGATGGCTCACAAAAATAAGCCAATTTAGAATTTATATATATATTATGTGTGTGTGTGTGTGTTTAGTGTTTTTTCATCTAATTTCTCAATTTTGATTGGCATATTGACAAGTGATAAAAGAGTAAATATTCAATTTTACCTTTGACGAGTTTGGATGAGAAATGTTCGAACTTTTATCAATATCCGAGTTTTCTATGCTTTTGCGATCAGCATTCATTTCTTCAGTTTTCGGTGCAGATGGATAATATGGTGAACATGGGATGATCACTGGTTGACAGGAAACAAGAATATATGGACATGGGGCGTAAATGGGAGGATAATTTACGGTATAACCGAAACTATAATTCACTTGTATTTTTAACACAAAATACGATATAACTACAAAAACATAGACGACGTTCATTTTTACGTTTATTTAAATGACGGGTAAATAACTCTGGCCTACCACCAAGCACACCAAATGAGAAATGATCGTATAAAAGTGGAAGCGAACAATCAATGCTATTACACTATTTATTTCTCGGAAGTTGCGTTAGCACTTTTCATTGAAATTAAATCAGAGCGTGTTTTGAGCTGACGTCAGCAGCACTAACTAACGTCAGCAGCTGATATCAGCTGCTGACGTCCCAATGGGCAACGTGCCGCGCGAATTTGACCTATATCACACTTTTTTTGCCGCGCAATTTTTGCATGGGTTACACTTTAACAATTATTAAAATCATGCAGAAATGGTTGTCTGTTTTATGCTCAATTTTTGATGCCTGATTCGCACATTATCAATTCATCAAAATCACGCATGCATGTTTGTCTATTTTGTATGCAATTTTAAATACCAGATTTGGATATTGCTAAATCATTGAAATCATGTGTTACTAAATCATTAAAATCACGTGTTATATGTCACTTTAGTTGAAATTTTGACAATTTTGGGTGGAAAGTTCCCGTAAATCCATGGCTTGCAGTTTAATCAATGGATTCGTACAAGCAATTGAGAACGTTAGGTAAGAAATGATGGCTCTGTGCACATGTGCAAGACTACGATTATGTGAGTTGTGAGTCTGCGAGTGTGAGAGTGTGAAAATGGGTAAAAGCGACCAGAAATTCTATAATAAAAAAGAGTGAAACAAACCTGAACATCATCAAACAAAAGATAATAAACGTTGAATGCAGCTTATCTTAATCGACCAAAGTCTGTTAGTAAATGGTGATAGGATTGATTTAATTTTGTTTACTTCGTTGATTTTGATTTTCATCCAAATAGGTACTTTCTCAAAGTCATTTTTTTATCAAACTAGAGTTCAAAGTTGCACTTAATAATGAGGTTATATGAAGGTTTTGTTTGCCGTTCGATAAAGAAAGAAGAGGTAAGGTAGACTAAAAATGTGTACAGTTGAATTTGGTGCAAATGTTGAAGACCTTAATCACTTTTCGGGACAAGTGATAATAATCGATAGAAGGAAACAGCCCAGCCCGTTAAAACAATGTGCATAGTTTAATTTTGGTTCGTCCTGACTGACGTCAGCTCAAAACACGCTCTGAATTAAATCCATAAACATAATATGTATAACAGACATGCATATTTACTAACAATTCTTCTTCACTTTTTCTTCATTTGTTTACATTAATTTACTCTACTTATTTGCTTTTTTAGCAGAAAATGGGACACTATGTAAGCGATGTTGCAAACTAACGTCAATGGAAACGTTGAAACATTTTACATTGTAGAAATGAAACTATGATCAAGTGTAAGAAATTCAATAATATTTTAAAACTATTGCACAAAGTGATGTTTTGTTGATTCCATGCTTTTGATTACAAATTTGCCTGACAAAAGAGTAAAACCACCGTTCAAAATCACGTAAAAGCAATATATTTTGCTGAGTTTGGCTAGTTATATTTTCATTTACATATACAATATACGTGAAAAACCGTAGAATGATCGATTCGAACAAAGAATAAACACTATGTACATTTAATTTTTCATTTTTGAAACAGGAGCTAATTTTGGATGATCAAAGGAGCGATAAGAAAGTTGAGAGATGGAAAAACGTTCAAAATCTTCATACAGGACAGATTTGAAGCATATTCTCCAAATAATTCTTTATCAATCTTTTGCTGAGCTAAATTAGTAATGAAAACCCAAATTCCCTCGTCTTTAAATTGTACATACGCTTGAATCCACAGATTCATTCATTACATCTGCATTGTCATCACAAAGCAACATTTATTCGGTTTGCAAGTCAACATCTTGAGTTCCTCGAACATCTTCATATCCACCCGTGGGGCGAAAAATGTGTAGAGAAATATGGTGGGGAAATTAAATTTGCAAATTTAAAACATCTAAAAATCACTCAAGGATGTATGTTTCATCCAACCATGGCCACACACACACACACACACACACATGAAGCATGTATATTTCATCCGACTATAGGTTTAGACATGCAAATGCGTGTTTTATCCCCGCATGCAAATATGAGGAAATCGCTTTTTCTCTCACGCATGTGTGCATATTTTCCACATTTCCCCTCTCAGTCAGTTGTGCACAAGAGAGAGAGAGAAAGAGATAACTCGAGCGAGCGAAGTAGAGAAATAAACGAGATAGTATCTATAAAGGCAAATGCTCATGTGGAAAAGCACCGTCGACCGTCGTATTGGTTTGAAACTAACGGTGTACGGTTGGACTGAGAGTGTGAGTCTCTCATTCTTTGTGTGTGCATGCATACTGTGCATGCATACACACATTTGCTACGATTGGACTTGGTTTTCAATAACGACTGTATACTGTGTCATATGGGACGAATGAAACAGAAAAATACAGAACAATAACAGCAACAGTAGCAGCGGGTCACACACATAAACAGTACGGAACAGTGTACACATTGGAACGGAGGATCATCATCATCATCATCGTTGTTGATTATTCTATAAAAATACACACGACATCGCGTTCGCCTCGAATGCAAGACAGTGACAGTGAGTGTGCGAAAAAGACGGACACAGAGAGACAGGTCTTGTGTTTTTGTGTAGCATGTTGTCGGTGTCAATGCATCGACATCTCGACGAAACGTATTCCGAAATATTCATTTAATTTTTTTTTTCCTTGTGCCACCGATTCAAATGCGTTGAATATTTTCCGTTTTGTCTTTGCCTGTTTGTGACAGAGAGAGAGAGAGAGAGAGTGAGAGAGTGATTATAGACAGAGCTAATAAAAATATAGGGAAAAAAAAAACAAAACAGAGTGAAAAAGTACGGAGTCTATAAAAACTGTAGTGTGAAGAACAGGCTCAAGTGTGATACACATACTGAAAAATCGCCGAGAAAAACAATGTCAAAAAATTAGATTTAGGTTAGATGAATGTTTTTTTTCTCGCTTGCTTACTCTCTCGCTCGCTTGCTCGTTGCCATTGTTGTGCGGTTTTTTCTCTGCACATTTTCATTTGAATGCGATCGTAGTTTATCGTGTGACGGTGACTAATTTCTTTTTGGCTGACGACATTTCTGACATTATCAGCGGCATTCGAATCACCTTTTTTTTCCTAGTCAATGCATATATTCAGTGTGGAACTCTGCAACAACACTCGTATATAACGTGTGCAAAGCAGACCAACCCTTTTTGACTTATTAACGTGATTCATTTACGCTCAATTGAATAATAAAGGTCGGTCGATATTCATCTTTGTGCTTTGACTCTCATTTGCATCTAACAGATCCTTGTTGCGGCTTCCAATTAACAACCAACAACAGTAGCGGCCCATACATACACACACACACACATACGCTCTCAAAATGACGATCAAACCCATAAAATCGGATAACAGCGAACCGGAGGTGAATCAACAGCATCGCGAGTGCTTGAATAAAATCTCATCACCAAAAAGCCCGGTAAGTCCAGAACAGAAAAATCATGAATTTCATCACAAAATGACAATCGCAAACACATTTCTTCGAACACAATCGGCGTTGTGAAATTGAATGTTCGAACAAAACAATTCTTCGTTATAAGCAAACCAATTACACAATGGCGTTCTTATTTTTTCATTTCAGTCGACACAGCATGGAATCGAACAGCGAAACAATCTTCGGAACACCGGCTATGGGGTGGATGACGTAGTGGTCAACCGTCATCGGCGCACAAATCAAAAAAGGTACGCTTATTTTGTTTCAACTTATGATTGAAAAGCATCCAATGAATATTCGACTCACCTTGATCCACTACATCGGAATTTAAATGCTCACGTCCTTATCAAATCATGTTCGTGTTCCAAATGAAAGAACCGAGGAGAAAAATACATTTTAAAAGAAAAACGATTACGTTGAAATCATAAAACTCACGACAAATCCTTTTGTTGCCTCTCTTTTTCCTTTCAGTGGGTCATCACACGGTGGTCCAAGCAACAGCAATACTCAGAAGCATCATAAGCAGCGTTTAGTGAATATAAACAGCAGCAGCACAAATGGCACATGCTCGAATGATTCGGGTGGCCAGACATCGAACGACGAGACCATTGGCAATAGCACAAATTCGGTGCCGGGAAATGCGCTGCCAACCATACAATCAACACCGTCAAATGTGATAACAAACAGTTGCTTCATCGCTGGCAACAACAGTAGCAATAATCTTAACAGTAATAGTAATCTAAACAACAATGGCAACAGTTCAACGGCTGTCAACCTCAATCTCAAGGTATGAAACCGAAAGAGGATGGGTTTTTTTCTTCAGACACTCTCTGTTTTTCTCCATTTTAAATCCCTGATATCGATTAAAATGGTGGTCATTCATGTGTGTTTTTGTTTTGTTTTGTTCGGATTTCATATAGAATTCACCGGATCGAGGTCGAGAGAATGACGTTGAAGACGATCAAAATAGTTATTCGGGATACAACAGTGGTGATGAGCATCATGGCCAAAAGTACGATCTAACACCAGAAGAATGGGAAGAGCGCGATAAATTGTTTGTAAAAACGATGAACGATCGCGGTTTTGTTATCGAACAAATTGTCGAGGATGGTGCCTGTCTGTTCCGTTCGATATCGCTGCAAATTTATGGCGATCAGGACATGCACGAAATCATTCGCAATCAAACGATGGATTATATTGTAAGCATCAAACAGATGATTCCTTTTTTCGAAAAGTTTTGCAAACGGATATTTAATCTCTTGCGTTCGTTTTAGTATCAAAATCGCGAATATTTCATGCAGTTTGTAACCGAAGACATCGACAGCTATGTTTCGCGCAAGCGAAATAATCACGTCCACGGCAATCACATAGAAATTCAAGCAATTTCCGAAATATTCAATCGACCCGTAGAGATTTATGCATATCACACAGGTACATTTAAATCTGTTTCTTTTTTTTCTGCATCATATTGGAATTGATTTAGTCTGACCCGTGGGAATTGTGTATGCCATTAAAATGGAAATGCATAAATTCCGTTGGACTAAAATCGGATTTCATTTGATATATTAGAGAGAGATAGAGAGCAAAAAATGACCCGTAATAAATTTATATATATGTTGCATTGATTTCTCTAGAGCCTGTCAA